AAAATCACATTAGAGAATTTGTGGATAGTGTGAAACATGTCAGGCAGCTTGCTCTCAGGTGGTTCAGAAAAACACTGTTGATAAAGGGATTACAGACAGAGAAAACAGGTGATGCAGTAAATGAGATAAAATGTGAATAGTAAGTCTGTGTAAGGATCATGGGACTTGTTATACTCTTCTTGCCATATTGCTATGTATTTAAAAGTATTTTATTTTTTTTTTTTATTTATTTTTTTTTTTAATTTTTTGTTTATTGCAGTAACATTGGTTTATAACATTGTAAAAATTTCAGGTGTACATCATTGTACTTCTATTTCTGCATGGACTACATCATGTTCACCACCAAAATACTAATTACAACCCATCACCACACACATGTACCGAATTATCCCTTTCACCCTCCTCCCTCCCCCCTTCCCCTCTGGTAACCACCAATCCAATCTCTGTCCCTATGTGTTTGTTTATTGTTGTTATTGTCTACTACTTAATGAAGGAAATCATACGGTATTTGACCTTCTCCCTCTGACTTATTTCACTTTGCATTATACCCTCAATGTCCATCCATGTTGTCACAAATGGCTGGATTTCGTCGTTTCTTATGGCTGAGTAGTATTCCATTGTGTATATATACCACAGCTTCTTTATCCATTCGTCCCTTGATGGGCACTTAGGTTGCTTCCAAGTCTTGGCTATTGTGAATAAGGCTGCAATGAACACAGGGGTGCATGTACCTTTGCAAATTGGTGTAAAAGTATTTTAAACTAATTATTTAAAAATCAATAATGAGGGGCTGGCCTGGTGGTGTAGTGGCAAAGTTCGTGCACTCTGCTTTGGTGGCCCGGGGTCCATGGGTTCAGATCCTGGGTGAAGACCTACTCCCTGCTCAGCAAGCCATGCCGTGCCAGTGTCCCATATACAAAATAGAGGAAAATTGGCACAGATAGTAGCTCAGGGACAATCTTCCTCACCAAAAAAAAAAAAAAAAATTCAATAATGATACATTGCCATAACATTTCTTTGGTTTGTAAAAAAAGGTTATATATTGCTGAATATATTTTCACTATTGACTTTCCCTAAATAAATTTGAATCATCTGCTTACAATATTTATCAAACTTTATTTGGGGTGGTGTTATCTCTTTTTTTTTTATGTGAGGAAGATCAGCCCTGAGCTAACATCCATGCCAATCCTCCTCTTTTTGCTGAGGCAGACTGGCCCTGGGCTAACATCCGTGCCCATCTTCCTCCCCTTTATATGGGATGCCGCCACAGCATGGCCTGACAAGCGGTGTGTCGGTGTGCGCCTGGATCCGAATCCGGGTTGCCAGCGGCAGAGCACAAGCACTTAACTGCTATGCCACGGGCCGGCCCTGGGGTAGCATTATCTTTATAACAGTTTATTACCATTTCATAAAACAAAGAAATTTGTCCAACATGGTGGAAAAATGCAAGTAGAATTAATATATTTTAAGATAAATACAAGTGAGATAAGTTATCCATAGTAGGTCCGCATGGCAGTGAAGTGAAATGAAGTATTCTTCTCTGAGGTCCTGATGCTGGAGGGAACCGATTTAAAAAAAGATAATGAGCACCATAGATGGCGAATGTGGACACGTGTGTAAGCTCTACGTTATCTTCAATTATTAATTTCTGTGAGAGAAAACTGACTCATGAAAGCAAGGAAATAGAATCAATAGTGGGTTATAACATACATAGAATTAAAATATACAAAAATAGTAGCTTAAAGCATATGAGGATATATAAAATTATAATATTTTAAGGTCCTTGCATATTCTGTGAAGTGGTAAACTAGTTTTAATTAGAATGTGATCTGTTAGGGATGCATAGTGTGATAGCTACAACAATCACTAGTAAAAATAATTATAATAATATTTATGAATATTTATGCACTGAACATTGGAGCACCTAAACATATAAAGCAAATAGTCACAGACCTAAAGGGAGAAATAGACAACAGCACAATGATAGCAGGAGACTGCACTATCCCACTTCAGCGATGGGTAGATCATCCAGACAGAAAGTCAATAAGGAGGCACTGGACTTGAACTACACTTTAGACCAAGTGTACCTAACAGACATATCCTGATCATTCCACCCAGCAGCAGCACAAACACCTTCTTCTCAAGCACATATGGAACATTCACTGGGAGAGATCATATGTTAGGTCCCAACCCAAGTCTTAACAGAGTTAGGAAGATTGAAATCAGATCAAGTCTCTTTTCCAAACTCAGTGATACAAAACTGGAAATCAGTTCCAGCAGGAAAGCTGGAAAATTCACAGAAATATTGATATTAAACAACACATTCCTGAGCAACCAATGGGTGAAGGAAGAAATTAAAAAATATCTTCAGAAATGAAAATGGAGACACAGCACATGGGTTATGGAATTCAGCAAAAGCTGTTCTAAGAGGGAAGTTTATAGCAATAAATGCTTACATTAAAAATAAAAAGGGGGCCGGTCCGGTGGCTTAGAGGTTAAGTGTGAGCGCTCAGCTGTGGCAGCTGGAGGTTGGGATCCTGGGCACGCACCGACGCACCGCTTGTCAAGCCATGCTGTGGTGGCGTCCCATACAAAGTGGAGGAAGATGGGCACGGATGTTAGCCCAGGGCCAGTCTTCCTCAGCAAAAAGAGGAGGATTGGCAACAGATGTTAGCTCAGGGCTTATTTTCCTCACACACAAAAAACAAAAACAAAACAAAACAGAAAACATCAAACAACCTAACTTTGTACCTGAAGGAACCCAAACAAGAACAACCTAAGCCCAAAGTTAGCAGAAGGAAGAAAATAACAAAGATCGGATGAGATGTAAAGGAAATAGAGACTAGAAAGACAATAGATAATAACAACAATAAACAAACACATAGGGACAGAGATTGGATTGGTGGTTACCAGAGGGGAAGGGGGGAGGGAGGAGGGTGAAAGGGATAATTCGGTACATGTGTGTGGTGATGGGTTGTAATTAGTATTTTGGTGGTGAACATGATGTAATCTATGCAGAAATAGAAGTACAATGATGTACACCTGAAATTTTTACAATGTTATAAACCAATAAAAAAAATAAAAAAAAAGAAAGACAATAGAAAATATCATAGAAACCTTACCTGTTACTGAATGCTTGAAAGAAATTAATATCTTGAATAATTTAACTGATCATGTGCTTGGGTAAATGTTAGGAGCACAAGAGCTCATGTAGCCTGGAGATGCATTTGTAAGCTTTGATGAAAAGGGTAAACAAATGGATAATTTTTTAATTTGGAAGGACAACATGTGGTGATCCCTTTGACGAGAAACATACATTGGTTTTCTAAATCAAGATCAGTATGTTTGTTCTGTAGGAGAGTGTCTCTGTTTTAGGGAAAATCACACTACTGAGTTAAAGATGGTGTGCACCATGTACACACATTGCTCTGGAGTGGTTGAGGAAAAATACTAGGGATAATGGGATAAAATACAGATAGAAAAAGTAGGTGATAAATCAAATGTAGTAAAGTGTGAACAGTTGGTGTATCTGCGTAAGGGTGAAAATCGTGTATATTTGAAATAATTTAAAATCAGTAACTTTAAAAATAAAAATAATTCATAGGCATTGATTTCTTAATTTTAAAATAAGGCTGTTGTTGCTCAGTATAGTTTTATTGATCACATTTTATTACTTTTTTCAAATAAACATATTTTTGCACAACTTAGGAAAAACAGCAAGCGAAATAAAAATATTTTTAGATTAATAAACACAAACAATTCATCTAGAGCAAGCCTGCACTCTAACATTGCTAAGAAATTTCTTCATACTGAAGAAATATTATAAGAGAGGAAAATACACTTACAGAAAGGAATTATAATCGGCAGAATTGGCAATCATGTAGATACCTGTGTAACCTATACTTTCTTTTCATTTCTGTTTTCTATAAGAGACAACTGGTTCATGGCAGCAAAATTATCAGCATTTATTGTGGGTAATAAAATATAGAATTTAAATATATAAAATCAATTTCATGAAGCATGTGAGAAGATATAAGGAATTATACTAGTGTAAGATTCTTACATATTCTATGAAATGGTCAACAGTAGTTCAAACTAGAATATAATACTTTGGAAATCCATTTTATAATGGCTACAAAAACTACTAAAGAGAAATTATATCTAAACACTGCTAATTTTAAGTATGGAATAATAAAAATGCCAGACTGTCCCAAAAGAAGGCAAAAGGAAAAACAAAGAGAGACACAAACAGATAGGACAATGAGAAAACAGCCCCCAGTTTCTGTGTTTCAATGATGAAAACTAAACATCCAAGTGATAAACACCAAGATGGCAGCTCTACACCCTCCTTAATATGACGTCATCCATCCAACCAATAAACTTCACTGAGAGCCAACCCTGTAAAGAAAATCCAAGTTTAAAGGCAAAGCAAACCATTGAATAACATTAATTTTCTGTGTAACACTACAGCATATTGGAGAAATATGAGTGAATTATAGTGACAAACTAATGTAGAAGAACACCTTCTCCATTTTCCAGGTTTCTTACCTTCATCCGTGAAATAAGATCTCTACTCACTCTGCAGTAATATTTATCTGGACTGATATTGGATTATGTGCCAATGTATGTCAGGTATCAGCCACATGCACATTGAGATATAATCTGCAGAAACACTTCAAATATTCCTGAAGAAAGGATATTTCCTCCAGATGGCTGTACCAGTAGAGGTGGAAACTAGTTTCCTCAATATTTTATGGATCTTTCTCGAGCTCATGATTTCATCTATAGACTGTCAGATCTCCCAATGTAGCACCAGCATAAAATTGACATTCTAAGATCATTGTGGATTTTATGTAAAAAATTGGTGCGCAGGAAATGGTAGGTAAATGGAGTAATTTAAGTTATTATTTTATTTTTTAATTAATTTAATTATTTTAATTTAGATTATTATTGAAGCTGTCTTCTACATATTTAGCACTTCAACCATGATTTCTAACAAATTAAGAGCAGAGCCTAGGAGTTCTAGGATCCCTAAGGATCAGCAGGAAGGGGCTAACAGTGGGAAAACATGAAACCAAAACATTAGAGATCTGGGTCAACCACAGACGAGAATCTATAAAAGCAGTCATATAAAAAGTAAAAACGAAATTCAGAATACAAAAGTTGGCAAAAGTGTCCACCAGCATCAGGATGGTGTGGGTGGCTCTAGTCTCCGGGGGACATTCGTGGTAGCCATTGGGAGTGTGAATATGCTGTACTCTCTGGTGGTGTCTGTGCAGGAGAAGCACCATGGAGCCACTGGACCAGCCCATGAGGCCAATGAACATCGCATCAGAGATGGACCACAGGAAGACAAAGCCTGCAGTGAGACTTGAGCATGAACAAAACCATGTCTCTTGGGAGTCAGTTTCATTTCCTGTTTCCTGTGGACCAGTGATTTTCACAGAAATATACATATACATTAAGAAACTGAACATCCAGCAGATACAACAGGAAGGACCAACGACCTTGGGAGCTCTTCCTCTGAGCATCGTCCACTTCACTCTCTCAGGGATCAGAGTGAAGAACTGATAGGTGCTCAGGACACAGGTGGAGCACAGGGTGGTGCTGCGAGCCACTAGGCGCATGTAATAGACAAGCTTACACCCAAGACTGGACAAGGGATTCTTCAAAACAAAAGCTGCCATCGTGTGGGGAATCCCAGTGGAGAGAAGAACCAGGAGATTGGCCATGGCCATGTGGGTGAGAATCACGTGTGTGGGTCTCTTCCTGCGGCCCAGCCAGATTGGAGAGACATTATAGAAGAAGAGAATGACATTGGACAATGTCCCAACCCCCATTTGGAAAAGGAAGATGGTTTTCAGTACTACTTTCCCTGTGGTTCTCAGAGTATTTTTCTGAAAAGACTTGGAATTGGCTTCAGAGTGAAGAGTAGGCAGTGATGGTGTGGGCAGCAGGACTCTTAGTTATGTGACCTTATTAAAAGATTCTTGGCCTTTTCTTCTCCTGAAAAGGGAGACACTGTCATACTCCACAGAAAAGGCTCAACCTGGAGAACATACACCTGACAATAGTTTACTTTCACCATGATTATTTTGTATTTATTTGTATTTACTGTTATATTTTGACTCTTCATCAGAATAGAAAGTATCATGAACTTAGGAACCATGTCTTTCTTGTTCAAAATATGGTTGATCCATAATAAGTGTTAAATAGTAAATTAATTAGTAAATGAATAAGTTGAAGGAGACAGGTGCACTGTACCCCTGTTAGAATTCACGATCATCCTGTCTGTCATCAAAATGCATTAACCTAAGATAATGAAAAGGAAAAATGCAAACTAGTGTTCAGATTATAAGGTTATCTAACACATTAGAATTGCAAGGGAATCTATTGTCAACTTTTGAGGACTGAACATTATTTATCAGAGTGACTGGATACAAAATACCTTCCAAAAACTCGGTAGTCTTCTGAATATTCAAAATGACCCTATAATGTCCTCGGGCAGTCTATTCAGTATAGAAAAGCTCCCCAGTGGCAAAAGAATTTTAATTATTAATAATTCCGCAGATCTGAACTTGCCAAGGACTCAGGCACTGGAGAGCTTTTTCTGAGTGTCCTCCAGCCCTCCTCAGTGCACACCAAAAAACAAACTCTGTGATCGTTAGACCAAGCACACAGCAGACTGTTTTACATTTTCATTAGCTTTTGGGTTCCTACATCTTGTCTGACTCTTTACTTTGTTCTGGATTTTACAAACGAGAGTCAGGCTGGTTATCTGAGCTCAACATCACCCATAGCACCTATGGTGTCACTTTAAAGCAAAATCTGATCTGAGCCGTTATGGGTGAATAACAAGGTTCTGTCAGATGCAACACAAAGTTTGACATATTCTGGTTAAGAGTCACATCTTCCAGGGGCAATCATCCTTATTATTCCTGTAGGATTCTGAAGCCACTGTCAGGTCCAGGAAAGGAGCTAAGAATTTGAAACAAAAGCCCAGAGTTACTAAAATTGCTTCGTTTTCAGGAAAATCACGTCCAGCTTACGAAACTACTATGCGCACTACGCAGGAAGCAGCAAAATACTAGCTTATAAACATAAGCTTGGGATTCGCCAGATATGGTTCTTTTTTTAACTCCCCACTCACTGGTGCTGGGATATTAGAACACCCCCTTGAGTTCTCAAAACTTAGTTCTCTCATTTTAAATACAGTGTAATGACAGGACCATGGTAGAAGGCATGGGGTAGGTGTTAAAATTCCAGCCTCTGGACCAGTCAGCTCTTATTATGTCTCAAGACCACCCACTTATTAGGCTAGTCCATCTTGCGGAATTGTGTTTACTATTCTGTGCCTCTGTCTTCTCCCCTAAAAAAGTAAAGTAGGCATTAATACAGAACAGAAGTCAAAAGGCTGGCATGAACACACGATGTGCTTCTCATGGTAATTGGCGGTGGCAATGGACGGAACAAAGTCAGTTCTCATATCGTGTTAGTAGGAGTTGTAGTCATAGAAACTATGGTTGTGGCAGATGGTATTTGTTTCCTAGTTTGGATTATTTGTCACTACCAGGGATATGAGGGAAGGAAATTAAAATGTAAAATGGGAAGAATAGGTCAGGTCTGTTTCACCGTCAAACCATTTCTGAGACTTGAAAATTAAATAGAGTTCATTCATTTTTCCCTCTCCCCTTGCTGCCAAATAGACACACAAAGCAACACTCACACACAAGCAACACAGAACACACAAACAAAAGTCTTTGGAGGAATACTGAGACAATTGCTTCCTACTGCTGTAGCATTTCGGAAAGTAAAAAATAGTCATGATGTCCTAATGTCACTATACCACAGACTGCTTTTCTCTGTGAATATCTGTGTGTACATGTATGTGTGTGTCAATGGGGCTATTTTATGTGTCAGGATTTTGAAATTATAACCCAGACATGCACATCAATTTTCCACGTGTATTCACACCCAAACCTGAAAATCTGTTAGGCCTGAGAAAATAAGCAGACCCTTTTGTACATGGTTGAGGAGCTCAGTGGCCCTGGTCATCCAAGGCTCGGCTCAGATTCCAAAGAGATTCCCATCCTTTTTTGTCTCATCGTCAGGGACTCTAGGACACGGAGATCTGCAGTGAATCTCACCATGTGGTCCACCCTGCGACATCCCCAGCACATGCCCACCAGCCCCCAGCCCAGCTAGAGCACGGATGGGGCTGCTGAGATGGAGGCAGGGTCTGCACCTATCCCCACAGTGTTACTGCACAACCCAATTCTGAGTCCCTCTCCTTTGGAGACTCCTGCTCTCCTGGTCTCTGCCCTGAGATTGAACAAAAGGAAGCACTCACCTGGCTGCACTTTGCTCCAGAGCTCTGTGCAAAGAAGTGACAATCTGGATGGGCCATAGTTATAGAGACAGGGCTCCTGGACCTGGTCTCCCCACAGAGGTGCCATTATCATGTCATCTGCAGTATAGGTGACACTGTCTGCCTGGAGAGTCTGGGGTGTCTCCAAAGAGGAGCCAATTTTATCTGAACTGCAAATCACTACCAGCCATTTCCTGTGATTAATGGTAATTTTTGGTAATTAACGAGAAGATCGTAATGAGCAGTTGAACAGCAGGCAGAGAAAGTTTTCTATGTTCCCTATGGAAGAACTTAAGTTCAGAGTCAAGGTTGTGGTCTGTGGTGGAACTGGAACTCAAGATTGGGTCAGCCTTCCCTTTAAACTATTTAACATACAATTATACAATATTTCCAAATGAGCCTTTTCCTCAAGGCTCTCATGTTTCCAAAATCAGGCTGACACCCTGACTCGTTCATACTGAGCTTCCGCATTTGATCTGGAATCTGGTCTCTCCCTTGACTTAAACACCACAATTCTTGCTACTTGTGGTCCTGGTCTTCTAAGCCTGGAGAATATCCCATTTGAAGCTAGTCTAACCCATGTCAGAATCTGTGGGTTTTCCTAACGTCCCCATGGCCCCACAGGAGACCATGACACGCTTCCTTAATCACGCAGGGAGCACTGCTCCCTTGCCCCTCACTGGACACCCAGGCTGTCCTTCTTTATTCTGAGGGTTCCCTGGGAAGAAGTTTTCCTGGATGTACAGACAGGGTTCAGGCGAAAGTAACACACAGGATAGATAGAGGGATAGGGTCAGAATCCCTTGAAATTGAGAAAAAGGCCAAAAACCAAATAGAAAATTGGCCAAAAAAAGAGAAAATTCACAAAATAGATGAAAAGATGAACCTGAATCCTATGAATGTTAATTATGGCAAGTCATTCAATTGGTTATTTTTCAAGATTGGTTTAGATATTCTCTATTTTTTTGCATTTTCATGTTATTTTTAGCATAAGCTTGTCAGTTTCAACAATGGCCACAGCAATGACAACACGGGCAGGATGGGATCATGATTGGATGTGTCAACTCTTTAGATCCATGAGGAGATTTAGCGGGATCAGGGCATATATGGAAATTCTCTGTACCCTCCTCTCAATTTTCCTATGGTGAGCACTGGAAAGAAGCATTCTCAGACATACAGATAAGGATGAGGAAAAAGCATTGACTAGCAAGTATAGAGAAATAGCATTTAATTTTATAATTGATCATTGGAATTATCTATTCATAACTGGAAATTTCAATTGATAATTGGATCCTGAAAAAAGCTCCTTTGGCGGGCAAATTTGCCTGATATCTTTCTTCTGAGAGACCATGGAGCAGAAGGAACACAATAAACCCTCCCCACTGGGCTCCTTCTGTAGTGAATTGATGCACTGGAGGCAGCAGATATACTCACATGACAGGTACATGGGTTTTTCTAGATAAGTCATGCAGACAAGACATCTGCTGCTTCTGTACAGTGTTCAGCCATAGCCTCTGTCTGGGAATAACAGTGCATGATGATGGTTTTAAAGTGTTGAGTGATTATTCATCATGGGGATCTGTCATCTTTAAACATATAGAGATACTGTGGACTTACTATGTTTCATCCCTAGGACTGGGTAATGAAGATACAAACAGAAATATTCATGGCCATGGTTCTGATATTTGAAATGCTGGTCAAAATGAAAGTCAGGATTCATCCTTTCAGCTGAGGTGGTGAAAGGGTCCAGGTCTTGACTGTCCAGTGTGGGAGCCCCTGTCACATGAGGCTGCTGAGCCCCTGACATGGGGTCCTCCGAACTGAGAGGTGCTGTGGGTGTAAAATGCACACTGAATTTCCAACATGGAATAAGATGGAGAGAATGTAAACTAACTTATCAGAACTTTTCAGAATTGATTACAGCTTGAAATGACAATTTTTAGGGTATTTGAATAATTTAAACAGTTTCTTTTCACTTTCTTTAATGTGGCTACTAGAAAATTTATGAAATTATAATTACATCTGTGGGTCATGTGTATTGAACACTGCTGGTCTAGACTCAGAAACCCTTCAACCTCCACAGCTAGACTCACCTGCCTGTGACAAAATGCCTAGGAGAACCTGAGAGGTTGACTAAGTCACTGGGGGAAAGGAAATGCACCATCTTAAGGAGTCTGTTAAGCTATGATGACTAAAGAGAAGGAAGACACTGTCACTTCTCCAGCCTGTGTATAAAATCTAAGTCTGCCCACTGCTCCTGGGGCAGAGCATCCAGTCCAGTGTCCCTGAGTGCACACACTGTGCTGGCATTGAGCTGGCCTCAGACGGCACTTGCTGAATCAACAAATCACTCCATTCCTAGGATGTTACTCTGTCATATCTGCTTTTTGCAGAACTCTGAGAAGTGAACAAGAAATCCCATCAGACTGGACTCCCTTCAAGTCCACTGGTTATCCTGTGGCCTCCACCTGCTTCCACTGCAGCTCAGTTCAGGATGAGAATCCCCCACGAGGGGCTTTTATTGGAGATGGTCCCTTGTCGGGGGAAGAGGGAGAATCTCCCTCTGCCCTTTCCCTTAAGGTTCTT